CAACCCCCAGTGCTATAGAGCTCCTTTATTGCCTTAGAGATCCTCCCTGCCTCAAAGCTTTCAGATGCATCTAAATTTACAGAATAACAATCTCAGCACGAGGGACAATGTGAGAGTGGTTTGTTTCTACAGTTACTGTTAAGTCCAGGATCTTTACTGACATCCATAGTCACTAAAGCAGTGTATGAATTTGTATTTGTATCTAGTTTTAATAATTGTCTTAGAGTTAAATCTCAAGAGTACAGAGCTACGGAAGTGTTCTGATTTATTTTACCATTAAATAAAGGGGGTTTTTGTGTTTGGTTTTGGTTTGTTTTTTGTTTTATTTTAATGACTTTGGAACCACAGACTGTCAAACCCCACTTAAGCAGTGAAGCACAAATGGGTAGATGCCTCTTGAAGGGGTCCAAATGGAAGAACAGTGTCTTAAATATACATAAATTTGGTTACAACACTAAATATTCAGTACATAAAGATGGTACCTGGACAGTAAAAAAAAAAAAGAAGAGAGACAGTGCAATTTTATGTTTAATTTGAACAACAGGGAAAGAGTTTGAGGAAAGGGGAATCAGACTGGGTTTCATATAAAATTGTGTCTTTCATTTCACTTTTTATAGGGATCATTAGTCAAATTGTGTGCTGCACTGATGCACTTTCACTGCTCCTTCCCCTGAGCTTTGCCAGGTGATGCCAGCTAAAGCTGATGTAATTATCACTTTCCTCGTGCTATAACCTTTAACTGTGTGTTTCTTCCTATTTAAGTCTGAGGCATAGAAAATAACTCCTGTTATTAGAAATAGGTTGTGAGCTTTGATTTGGAGTCAATAGCTGAAGCAGAGAGGGCAAAAGGATGGCAATGAAGAGGCTCGGGCTGCTTTGCCATAGGCTTTCTGTGACACTGAGCAAGTCACTTAATCTCCCTGTACCTGTTTCCCAGCCATACGCAGGAATAATAGCTTTTCCTTAGCTTATTGCAGTGATGTTAGGATAAAGGCTTTGAAGGGATTAGGTCCTGTAGCCGGAGGCTTTAAAAAACACTTTGGGTGGATAAAACAAGGTGCTGGAAGCAGCTATCACGGTCCTAATGTAAACTGTACCAAAGTCACAGTGGTGGCCTGGCATCCTACTGGTATTTACATTGTGCATCTCCCCTAGCCTAACACAAAAAATTTCTCCTATGTAGCTCACACGTATGAACAAAAACGCAAGTATATGTCAGGCAGCTTCCCAAAACATTAGATACACAGTCATCCTTAATATTCTTTGAGCCAGTGCTGAAATGGAAAACAGTCATACTGGGTATCTCCAATTCTCTCTTAGAGTTGCAGCTTCCTTTACTGGTTAAAGTTAAGTAGTAAATTGCTTCCAAAATATCCAGGTGAGATGAGAAATCTCTTAGTCATGATTTTGACTTACTAGTTTCAGGCCCAGCAAGTAACCAGAGCTGGTCAGCTGAGACCATTTTATTGAATCACTAGGACAGTCCCAAAATGTTCCTTCCTAGGTAGCTGCATACATACACAGATCCAGCACCTGCTTTCAATCAGTCAGATTGCTCATGTGCTAAGTGAAGCAAAATCTGGCATGGTGGGGAGTGAGGATGTAACATATGTTATATAAAGAATGACCTAACTGCTGAGGTTCTAAGTGTGTGGGTACAGTTGTCCTGAAGCATGTTACTTGTTGCTCTCCCAGGCCATACCCCAGTGCTTTTTCATCACAGAATGATTGCCATTTAAGAGTATTTGTTATGGATTTATATCCTTTTTCACCACCAATAATAGAGCTTTGTTCCCCCTTCAAAATGAATTTGACCTGTTCACTGGAGTAAAGATTCTCAGTGGGTTTTGGTTTTTTTTTAGGAAAAGGAAAAAAAGTCTGATGGCAAGGGGCCCAGTGATGGAGATTTTATATGGATTTTGCATTCTTTTGTAGCTCCCAAAAATTATGCCAGATGATGAGAAATTGGACTTTAAAGTTGTGATGCTTCATGTATTTCAAAAGAAAGCCTCTCTAATATAGTGCTAATGTTTTCCATAAATTTCTTTGAATAATGCTTCTGAGAAATTATAAGATGATATGACACAGTACAGAGGCAATAATAGGAGAATGATGTAAACGTAGGTTGGACTTTCCTTCTGGCATTTTTGCACTAAGATATCCCAGAGAATATTGGTGCTTTCCAGTGATGTAGGCCTTCAATTCCCTTCTTTACTAGAAAACTTAGTTTCAAAGATAAACTCTTAGCGGACACCTTGTGGGACTGGAACCACATTAGATCACAGAGGTACTGCTTTCTGCTGTTGCCCAGCCAGGATGCTTTCTACAGAGCTCAAACACTGGTAGGGCTGAGCCAGAAGCATGGAGACCCCTCTGTCCTGTTCAGAAGTGCCTTGGGAGGAGGAGAGGTGATGCAGGTACCTTTGTGCTTGTTTTGCCTAATTTGGATATTACATGATCCCTAATGACAAGAGAGTGCTTATGCCTTGTTAATCTGAAAAAGCTGCTGGTGGCATTGAAGCCACATACTTAAGGACCAACTTCATGGAGCCTGTCTGGGAACCTATGCTGTCCCCTCTGTAGCAGGTGTTGCATCTCTTCTGGTGAGCGCTCTTATGCTTGCAGCAGCTCATCGCTCTGACCCACGAGGCTGTGAGCAAGGCAGCTGCTGTTACTGTGTAAGGAGAGCACAACTCCAGTGGCAAAAAGTTTGGAAAGAGTAGCTCTGCACTACAGGCAGCACCCAGCTCTGGTTACTCTTGTATTAGATTTTATATAATTAATAAAGATGGGTATGTTAATTACAAGCTTGCTGTACCTTAGCATAAAGATTGCCATCTCCGTTTGGTACTTACAGTAACCCCTGCTGGATGGTCAGGGCAGCTGTAAAAATAGCCATTCTTCCCATCCATTCCTCCCTTACACAGGGAACAGAGAAGTCCCAGGAAATAAAGTTGAAACCAAATTAGAGGGCAGCAAGGATGCTTGAAGAGAACAAACTGGGAAGTGTTTACTTTATGCCAAACCATTTTAAGGACAGCTTGAAAGATGCCAAAAAAGATAAAAATTACTGGGCAGAAAAGGTATATGGCCTAACACTGAACTTCTGAGTTATGACATAGGTTTGATCAAGAACAGGCCTGCACCTATAAACTATGCTTACTAGCACAAATATGTGGCCTGGAAAAACGCTTCTCATGTGCTTCCCTTCTGTAGTCTTTGGGATGCTAACAGTACATAGCTCAAGAGGGGAGCTCTATTAACATTTGTAGTAGTTAACAGTGTGACGCAATGTTTCCATAGAAAAAAGTCTGCTTGTGTTGTTTGGGAAAAAGCCTATTTACTTTCTTGACTACAAAGAAATTTTACCATTTCAATTTCAGCTCTGTTATTGTACCAGGAACTCCCTTTGAAGTTGTTAATGCTCCAGGGAGATCTTGTTTTGCGTTACTTGAGTCTGATATGCATTATAGTCGGATTTTAATCCTTTGTGACAATAGCGTAAACTCAGAATAAATCCTGTTGGGAACCTGACTTGTGGCCTTTCAATGGAGTAATTCCATTCTAGGTGGCAGCAGCATCTGGTCTTTTATGTTTTTAATAGTGGCTGTGAGGTCCTCAAAGGATGAGCAATTTGTATAAAGCTCAAGTTCTTTTCTTTCAACTAAAGCTTGATAATGATGTTCTCACCCACAGTTAAAAAAAAAAAAAAAACCACAAAAACAAAACATCAGTGCTCTGGGTCCATAAACAGCTGCTCTATCACTGGGAGTCTGTGAGGGTCAGCGTTACCTGTAGGATCTCAGCCCACAGGTGATACCATCAAACTGAATTTTGCAGTTTAAGGTACCTTTGGGGAACTAACTTTAGTGCACCTAGGTGCTTTGACAGTGTATTAATGAGGCAATAATTCCAGCAGCATTAATCAGACCCCAGGATGTAAAAGGGAATGATTCACAGAGAAACACTGTGTTCTCTCAGTCTGTCACTGTGGGAAGGCAGTGGTAATGCATGAGTAGGATTTGTGATATTTTTCAGTTCACATGCTTAGGGATTTCCTCTGCAGCTTCAGGAGGGGTTTTATTTCTCTGCAGGAAGTGACAGGTGACCCTTGAAAGGAAGGGTAAGGTTTCACAGGTTAAAGTGTGGGTGTGAATGACTGGCTAGGTTTGAAGGACCCTATTCAGGCCAGCAGGGTGATTTGTCTGCACAAGCTCATGCACTGAGACAGACCAGATCCGTTGCTGGATTTTAAGGGCTTTTTGTTTTGTCATTTGTTTTAGAGCAAACTGGGGAAAGCCAATGTTGATGCTTAAGAAAAGAGCTGATGTGCAGGAGATCAGGGCTCTGTTCACAGCATTGCTGCAAATATTCATCCAGAGTCCATGGCAGATATTCAGGCCTGGCCAGACACTCTGGTGGGGCAGTTGGTGACCAGTGGTGGGGTGGTTAAGCATTTCTGAATGCCTGAGATGACTAACTTCATGCTGTATGCACTTCTCACCCCCACTTCTTCCTCCATTTCTTTTTCTTATCCTTTTGTTTATCTTTACCTGGTTAGCTTCCAGCCAAACAGTGAGGAGCAGGGGGGGTGTCACTCAGCATAGTGAGGAAGAAGACAGGGTTGCAGCCCTAGCTCTTATAGCATCTACACAAAATACCTGAAGCAGAGTCTGTTTCTTTAGTGGGACATAAGCCTTGCCCTTTCAGTCAGGCCATTGGCCTAATTTAGGGTAGATAATCTGAATTGCTTGCTGTTTAAAAAGACAGCAAGAGAGGGGGAAGAGGTTGATACAGTCCTATCAAGAAATAATGTGAAAACTAATTGTAGCATGGGAGGGAATGGGACACTAGGGTTGTGATCCATGAATGGAAAATGTGGGTTGTGAGACAATGAAAAACTCCTTTTAAGAGAAGGATACTTTTGACTTATTCCAGAAAAGCAGTAGTGAAGCGAAGACGGTTTCAGTCACTTTTTATGTTCTCTGGTTTTGATCTAGGTCTGCTCCAGCTCCTACCCAAGGTCCCACCAGTGCTGGGGCTGCAGGGCCACCTCCTGCTACCAATGTGTCAAGCAACAAAAGGCTGCAGCAGACACAAGCCCGAGTGGATGAGGTAAGTGGCTTCATGTGATTTTTTGTTCACCACAAGGGTGCTGATGTGTTTTCTTTTATTTTCTTTAAGATGCTTTCCTCTCTCATGATCCAGCAACTTCTGCTCATCTGAAGGCAGCAGATCTAGGAAATTAAGTTTACCAAAGGATAACATTTATGAGGAGGCAGACAGTACAAGAGAGATTTTGAATGTGAACATCCTTGTACCAGTAACACTTCTGCAGAATAAATGTGGGCATTGGTGCCAATTCAGGAATTCATCCCAGTCAGTCAGGAGGAAATGTCATAGGGAACCAGCTCTTTTAACGTGTTCCTGTGTTCCTAAAGGTTAGATGCTAATCTCACAGGCTGTTCCACAGGGACAGACCATCAGCTTCTCATAGATAGATTCAAGCCATGAGAATTACACAGCTGAGGGCTGTGTTTGTTAGCCAGAGCTCTATTGATTAATCGTCACAATTTATCCCCAAGGAAATACACCCACACATGATGTCATAACAGCATCTTCAACAAATCCCCCCTCCTTTTATTGGAGAATACGTGCCTGTTCCAGCTTGGATCCTGAAATTCTTGTAGCATACAGACTACCCCGCCACCTTGTCTGTAATGCTGGTATCCATCTAACTGATGTGATAATGGTACTAAGTGAGCATACCACCGCTCGTGGGTGTAGTCCCTGAGCATGCCAACAGTACAGTAGCAGCTGTAGCATCCTTGCACACTTGCTGTGCAGTTTTATGTGCTGGGTATTACGTACAGAGTTTTGCTAAACCCATACAAAGACTTAGGTAACTAATGGCTTAATGTCCATGGGGAACTGGCCAAGGCTTGTGTGATTCTTTAATGCTAATTCAATAAAATACATATCAGAAAATACCTATTTACATGTAGAAAGGCTGCTATTTTCAACACCTCCAGGCATGCTTTAAAAGACTTAACAACATCCAGCTCAAATGCATTTCTTAAGATGACTTAAATACGCCTGTCAAATTGAGCTTTGTCTTTCTGATAATTTCTTCTTTGCTGAAGATCTGAAATGGGGTCTTTCTGGTCTTGCCATTGCTGATGCTTAGAGCTAATTACAAGAACATCCTCTGGCTGCAGAAATGTCTGCAGGAATTTCTAGGCCAGGTTCTCTCATTATCACCAATTTTCACATCACACTGAGGAGTGTCTCTTGAAGTGGGGAAAGGAATATTACATTTCAGCTTTTGTCTTGGGTCAGAACAATGAAATAACTTCTTGTCCTGAACATATTATGTCATGATGGTGCTGTAATTGTTTATGTGAGCTGCAGCAAAAGTAATTGTCCCTAGAAGATAAAAAATAATTGCTGGTTATTGTCTAAAATGAGCAATGCAGGTCAGACGAATAGGGCTCTTCAAGCGGATCAATGGAGATGGCTCCAATGAGGCTAGTGAATCCCCACTTTGTGTTTAAGAAACTCTGTATTCTGAGACTTTTCACTCAAGCCCATGCAAGATTGTCTTCTTGTGAAGCATGATGGCATAATTTTGGCAGGAACTCTTACCCAGTATGAGTGGACAGTGTGTAGCTCTTGGATTTGAGGATTATGTGGGTGATAATCAGAATCCATGTTTTTTTCGCCTCCCATTTGAGAGGGAAGCTGAGGTTGGTATTGGTTTTGGGTGGATAGCAAATGGTCAGCAGATCCTTGTTTAATAGGAAAATCACAGTATAAGAATAGCCAAGGGAGAAAAATGCCACTGGGTTTTCAGTACCGTGAAGTCACTAAGGTAAAACTGGTTTTTAGAACCTAAGGATCTGACCTGTTAAGCATTGCTTTGACCTTACTACTAGATCTTTCCTGTTTTTTTCTTTCCTGTCTTGTGGGGAAGTAATCTGTAGGTGGCACCAAACACCACAGCACAGCACTAGACTCTGGCAGCACTTCAGATTCAAACCCAGAACTCAGCAACACAATCACGTCTTTGCTTAAGAGGAAATTCTTGGTCTTAGTAAAATGACTGACATTTTTAATACTATATCAATGCTGATACAGTATTTCAGCTATATCCATGTTGGGTTTTCCAATCTGATTTCCCTAGGCATCCTAGAGCTTATTTTCTATGGCCCAGATTTTGGTTTTAGTCTAGACAAACATTTATTTATTTGACAAAAATGCAGTCTCATCAGGACAAGTGTTCACTGCAGTCAGGTTAAATTTCAATAAATAGTTCTGGGAAAAAAAAAAAAAAAAAAAAAAAAGAGAGAGAATGGGTAGGAAATGTTACAGTATTTTGTTTCAGCATTTTCAAAAAGTTTAAAATTTTCATTACAAAACATTGTGCCAAGACAAAATTCACGTAAATACTAGCTAATAAATGAATCATAGAATTGTTTGGGTTGGAAGGGACCTTAAAGATCATCTAGTTCCATCCCCCTTAGATTCTTTCCACTAGACCAGGGTGCTCCCAGCCCCATCCAACCTGGCCTTGAACCCTTCCAGGGAGGGGGCAGCCTCAGCTTCTCTGGGCAACCTGTGCCAGTGCCTCACCACCCACACAGGGAAGGATTTCTTCATTAGATCTGGTCTAAATTGACCCTCTTTGAGTTTAAAACTGTTACCCCTTGTCCCATTCCTACATCCCCTGAGAAAGAGTCCCTCCCCACCTTTCCTGTCCCCCCTTTAAGCACCGGGAGGCCTCTCTAAGGTCTCCCGGAGCCTTCTCTTCTCCAGGCTGAACACCTCCAACTCTCAGCCTGGCCTCACAGGGGAGCTGCTCCAGCCCCCTGATAATCTTTGTGGTCTCCTGTGGATCTGCTCCACCAGCTCTGTGTTCTTCTTATACTGAGGACTCCAGAGCTGGACACAGCATTATAGGGGAGGGTCTCCCCAGCGCAGAGTAGAGGGGGAGAATCCCCTCCCTCGACCTTCTGGCCACACTGCTCTTGGATGCAGCCCAGGACATGGTTGGCTTTCTTACTGCACATTGCTGGCTCATAGTTTTTCATCCACCAACAAAAGGTTTTTTTAATTTGATAAGAAGTTAAATGCTTGGAAGATTTTGGTTTGGAAAAGCAAATAAAAAAATCTGTGTTGAACAAAATATTTGATTTTGTTTTAGGTTTGGCAGACAAGTAAAACAAATCTTTTGAGTTTTAGAACAGCATTTAACCCTATGCCTGTCCTTTCAAAGATTCTTTCACTACCAGTTTCTTCTCACTGTATTTAAATCATGTAGTTTTTTAATAACTCTGGGGTTTTGCAGGTAATAGTTAAATTATACTAAATACAAACAACATGGACTTATTACAGAGTATGAGAAGTAACAGACCAGCAACCATATCCACTGCTAGAATAAGTAGACACAACTTTACTGAGATTGGTATGCTATATAACATTTATATTAGTTATGAATTTGTACAGAATTTCTATTTAGAGTTATTGGCTTGCTAGAAGAGGATTTTTGTCTAACTCTATGTATAAAATGTATGTATGGATGGGCCTTACCTACTGCGTACTGGCTGTGCACATTTTTTTTGACGAGGCTGTGCAATGAGGTGGCATGAGCTTCCTGCTACAGTTCAGGCTGAATCTTCTCAGGTATAATTTTCTCCTCCCCCACTTTCAAGCAGGACTTCAAATTATGGCTGGGAATTCATCTTGTCTGAGAAAGATCTGCAGAATGAGTAAGGTCTTTGGTCAGGAAATGCATACAGTTCCCTTTAGAATATCCTTTATCTAGCCAATTTCTCTAGTTCAGGTAAGGAAGTTACATTAAATGTATAAGGGAAGTAATGGCTTGGTCTTAGTAATGACTAGATAAATGTCAACCAAATCGAAGTATAGAGGTATTGGTCTCCATCAGTTTTTTGTATCTCTAGTGAAGTAGCTAGTTGTAGGCTAAAAGAAATCAAAAGCTTTAATGAAACTAATTACAGTATTTCATAATGTCCCTTTATTTTTTACCTTTAAGAGCATCTGAGCACGGTATAGCTATGTTTATCTTATTCTCACTGTTTCTGTTTCCATAGGCATGGTTTTTGAGGCACTGTCCAGGTAATTGCTTTCACATACCATAATTGCAAATGGTTGGTTTCAGTATGGTATAGGATACTCCACAGTGTGAACGTATGGGTGACCTGCTTTACTGTGTGTGGAATCTAATGTAAGGCTGTGCCTTTGCAGGTGGTAGACATCATGAGAATGAACGTGGACAAGGTGCTAGAAAGAGACCAGAAACTATCAGAACTTGACAACCGGGCAGATGCATTGCAAGCAGGAGCCTCACAGTTTGAAACCAGTGCAGCCAAACTGAAGAGAAAATACTGGTGGAAAAATTGCAAGGTAAGAAATATATATTCTTGTTAAGAATCACTTCATGGCAGACATTACTTCCACTTGAACTTAGCAGGACTTTGCAGGATGGCATCTCTAAGCATTTTCTTATTGACAAGGGGAGAAAGAGATGCCTTGCCCTCTAGGCTCCAGGATAATAAGTCAAGCAACTTTGATCTTTACTAGAACCTATTCTTTAGATCACTTCTGCAGTATATAAAAGGTAGATACAAATTTTGATGCTTCAGTCAGTGCCCGCAGATAGGGATGGGAGAGCATTCCATGTCAATTCATGCCAGTTCCCTGGACAATCCACAAAACCTGAACAGGTGTAGTGAATCCTGGTAGTGGGGAAAAAAGCAGCTTTTTCCTTCTGGGAGATCATCAACCTCTTTGGTTCCACAAACTGCTGTGAGAAGTGAAGAAATGACAATCCATTTAAAAAAGAGGGACAAATTAGGATAGAGCTGGACTTTGATCAACCAGCTCTCTCCTCTGCTGTCTTCAAAGTCTCATCCTTTCCCATGAACAGAGGGAACCTCACTCTCCTTTGCTTTTCCAAACCTTCTCCAGGATTTGTGTTTTCTGGACCCAGAAGCTTCAGCTCCTCTTATTCATATCAGACCTCATATCCTTGATTCTTTCTACTCATGCACCACCAACATGAACACTATGCCAAAATTCAGCTTAATTTCCATTTCTTTTCAGTACCATCTTTGCTGCTAATCATTCATGTCCACCCAGATAAATCCACCTGTTCCCAAAGGAAAATCTCACATGTATCTCTCAACAGTCTGTTGCCTGCTTTGTCTCTTCAATCCACGCTGCTATGAAATGTAAAGCAGGGCAACATATTCTGGGTGAACTATACACACAAACACTCTAGGAATAAGTGGATCCAGGTTAGAAATTCATCTGAGCAGTTCCTCTGGGCCTCTTCTAGCTGTTGCCCAGTTGCTTTGCCTGACAGTGCAGGAAGCAGGACTTTCGGGAGCTACAGACACAGATTTTGAGTTAGGTTCACCCATGCTGACTGCAGTCACCGTAGTGATCTACACTACACTAGACCTTCAAACCTACCCTCTTTCTCCTTTCCTCATTGTCTCTTCCTGCTTTACCCTGACAAACGGAATCCCTCTGTCCTTACTCTGGCTCCCAAACTCTGGAAGGAAGGGGAAAAATAAATAAATCTGCAAGCCAATGGCTGGCTCTGTCCTCCAGATTTATGTTGGGAGGAATGAAGGCCTTCATTTGACATGTCCGTGTTTGTTGGTTTTCAGTTTTTCCATTCTCACTGGAGTAGTGATGGGAACTGAACTGCAGCATCTCCGGTGGCCTCATAAGCATTCAGCAAGTCTCATGTGGGGGCCTCTACCCCACACAGCTCAGTGCTGATATGGTCTGTGCACAGCTGGCTCTGATTTATCTGTTCCTATGGGAATGGACTTCAACTTTGCAATGAGCTATTTCCAGGCTAACATGCTGTAAACCATGCTGGCTAGCATGGGCTACCTCTCTTAACAGCACAAGTACACAAAGCAAGCACAAATAGCTGCTAGGCATTAGACATCTCCAGCTGCCTCTTCCCTGACTACAGGAGCATGGTGAAAAGAGATCAAGTTACTGTGGTGTAAAGTGGTAAATGGTCATGTGTGAATCCAGCCACTCTGGAGCACCTCTGGAGTTATTTTACTTTGGAAGTTTACTTTTTCTTTACTGCTGGAAATGGATGAGGTTGGTCACTGCAACTTAGCTGATGGGCAAGAACTTGCTAGCTTTGTCAAGAGGCTATGTCCATTGCTGGTGGTCAGCTGTTCCTAAAATTGACACTAACTTTAGGGCCTTAACAAGTCTATTGCAGGGAGTCTTTGCAAGAATTAAAAGTGCGAGGAATGAGCCACTATGTAAAAACAAAAAAACTGAGGGTTTAATGTCTTTCATGTGAAAACCTGACGTTCTCTTTTTTTCTCATAACTTTCTTTTTATAGATGATGATCATCCTTGGTGTAGTATGCGCAGTCATTCTCATTATAATTATAAGTGAGTAGTTCATTTTCTCTTTCATTTTTGATCTCAATAGCTCTGTGACTTACGAAGTGCTGATATATTAAAAAACAACAACAAAAAATAATATAAAGTATTTAAACTGATTAATTTGTGAAATTCCTCTTCTAGTGCCATGCTGTTATAGTGAGAATTACTGCAAACTCTCTGGACACTTATATAGGTAGAATTTGTTGACATTTAAGGTATTTTACATTGGCATGTTACATAATTTTCCCTAGGATTAACGACTCTCCCTTTTCATGTTGATATAAATTTTTATACAGTCTCAGATGTCTTCCTTTCATAACAACCAGTGCCACAGTCCTGGTGTTTTCTAGTGAGAACAGTAATGCTTGAATTACCTCATGCCTATAACAAGAGGGTGAAGGCCCACAGGCAAAAGGCATCTCATTAATTTTTTTAAAAGCATGTAGGTGCCTAGTTCCCACCAAATCAGCTGGAATTTGAGATGCTGGTGCTTCTGAAAATCACTTTGCATCTTGGACACCTAAATATTGGTAAAAGATGGCCCAAAGTCTTACTGATTTCTTGTCTTGAGAGATCATCTCATTCCACACATTTGTTATAGGAAAGATAGCATATGAATGAATAATAGCAGTCATGCTGGTTGGGAGCCAGGGATCTTGTAATGACAGGAACTGAACATTTTATTTATGTAACCTCTGTGTTAGCAACAGCCGTTATGTGACATAACTGTAATATGGCATTAACTCCTGAAAGGGAGATTTCTTGAGTTAGACAATCCAGCTAGTAACCCAGAAGAGATCCACCAGGAGGCTAAACTGTGCATGTAAATTAATTCCCAGCTCTCAAATTACATGCCTTGTATTCAGCATGTTTCCATTTTCCTCTGTTGCTTCTGTAAAGAAGGCTTGCAGAATCACCTGTAAATATGACTAAATGGATTGAGATACATGTGGCAGTTTATTAGTCTTATGAATGCTGGCACCAGAGCGACCCAGAATAATTCTACGATTTCGTAACACTGATACAGCAAGAATGGGATGTGGCTAGATATTGATTAACTATATTAACCGGGTACTCAAGGCAACTGGCTTCAAGGGAAAGACAGGCCTTTGTTCTGCAGTCTAGTGCAGCAACCTGGGAAGACAGATGTGTGGCCATTGATTGATGTGTATATATGCATCATTGAGCATTATGTGTATCTTAACATGAAAGTAAAAAGCAGACAAGATAGCTCATATTTTCTCCTTAGAAGTTAAGGCTGAAATGATATATAAGTAATAACGTTGTTTCCCTCCTAGTTTTAAATGTTGGATGTCTGTCCTGGTAAGTTTAGAAGCAGACGTAGCAGGTTTGACATGGCTTAGGTTGGGTTTAGGGTATTTATTCACAAGCTTGTGTGTCACATCATCAAACCCAGGTCATGGCTCACCATAGTGAGATCTATTGCAAGTTTAGTGAGATTTAAATGAATTTAAGTTGCAGATAAATTGGGTAGTTCCTCACAGCAACAAGCTACCTTGGGTGATGCAGTGGCCCAAGCCAGGCTTCCTACCGACCTGGTAGTAGGGCCCTGGAAAAGCAGGCTGGCTCCCTGCTGAAGCAAGAGTTACAACATGTGGAACTGCAGGAGTTGCTGGAGCTGGTGATAGCGGCTAACATCACCATCAGTCCTTGCCCCTTCTATCTTTCGAGTTGCAGTTTCCCCTACTTTCCATGCTAGTTCCCGCTCTGAACTCCTTTGTATACAGGAGCATCCCCATTCCAGCTAGGAAGGCAGATTGTGTGCAAGACATGTCATGCTCTTTCAGCAAAGATGCGCTAAAGGTGTTTGCCATTCTCTGACAGCACATGCTTCTGTGAGATAAAGAGCAACAGTAACTCTGTAATAACTGTTGGTTTATGTCTTTTTTTTTTTTTTTTCCCTTCTGCTTCCTTTCCCAGTTTATTTCTCCACTTGAAAAAGCAAAGACGGAAGACTTGGCACAACTTTGTTCATATCAACCAACGATATCAGTGTTCCTTTGTTGAACTCCGCTTTTTAATTCCCAGTGTCTTGGGATTTTTGCTTGTAATAACCCATAAGCATTCAGTGTGGTGTGTTTTGGAATTCTGTTGTTTCCACAAGAAACTGTACCAGCTAAATACTGCCAAGTAGTTCCATACACTGTCTTATCACTGTGTCTTAAAATATGTATGCACTGACCTTCAGAAACTGTAGTATATGAAAAGCATCCTAAACATCTCAGAATCAGAGAATGCAGCTATGGGGAAGCTCCTGCTTAAAGGGACACTGTCAGGTGGATTGGACCCAAACCTAAGGTTGCATCAAACTTTAGGGCCAAAATTCTTAATCTGAGCTCCTAAAGTTGGATGGCAAAATCCACTATCCAATGTAACTTTTTGAGGTAGTGAGTATCTGGTACTCCCATTAAAGAGAGTGGTACCTACAAGTATTCATGTAAGACATCTTATTTCAATTCAGCCAGCCAAACACAGATTTTTTGAGATTAGTTGTAGTATCCAAGTCTAAAAGCATTGTCTGCAGAAAATAAATAGAACTAGATCATCATATTTTATGGATTTTATTTTTTCATTATGGGGTGTTCTGTACAACCAGGATGGCCTCCATATGAAAGCCAGAAAAAAAAAAAAAACTGTATGACAAACAAAAAAGCATTAGCTAGCACAGACTTCAAAAAGCCAAGTGAAATGCAAAAATGGTAATACAAGGATCATAAATGACCAAGATACAGATTCTTTCAAAAAACTCAAGGCACTGTTTGTCAGACTTCATGGGACTCTCTTGAATGCCAGTCCCCAATACTTACAGCCCTAACTTAAAGCACATGATCAATTTTAGTGATGTCTGTGGCTTCCCAGCACAATTGTAGGAAGCTATCTCTGCACCATTTTGCAGAAATGGGTCCCCACTGTGAGGACCATTCATAAATCAGGAACAAGGAGGTATGAGTAAATAGAGGGAACAGTAGAGAGAGGCCAAGAAAGGGAAGGATGACTAGCAAAGCTTCCCTGGAGAAGAGGAAGGCAGAGAAACACTGTTCCAAAATGGTGGTGTTAATAGGCTTTTTAAAAACTTAATTTAATTTGTGTGTGTGTGTAGTTCATAAACTATAGTGTTGTCTTTGTAAAGTGCACAGCTGAGATATTTTTCATACTCAATTAGTTTAAACTAGCATTTGATGTAATTAAGAGAAATTATATATTGTGGTTTGAGAGAAGGTTCTTGTATGTTATTGTTGTAGGGTTTCTCCCAAATGTTGAATTCCTCATTTTTTCTTTTTTAAACACTGAATAGTTTAATCATAGTTAAGCAAGCTAAAAATGAATTGTCAAATTTTGAGCCAGGAAATTCTGTAAGGGTATGTTTAGGATAACTCCCTGAGAATTCTAAGATGAATTTATAGAATTAAAAAAAAAAAATTGTTTGGTGTCCCGCCGTACCCCCACCGCCGCAATTTAATTAGGGGAAATGGTGATAACAGTGTAAATATTCCCACCGTGGAGCATCTCTCTTAACATGGTCTTAGATTAAAAAATCAGAGACCCAGACAAGTTCATTGCAGTGGATGCATATACAAATTGTGATTAAGTAGAATTTTGCAGAAAGAATAAGCAATGATCAGTTGAATGTTTCCAGTTGTATTTTTTCCCCTAGGTATTTATTACTTCATATTCACATGTACTGTTCCATATCATTAAGTAGTAAGTGGCCACAGTCTTAACAAAACTTAACATTCAAAGTTACTAATGTGCTACTGGACTCCCTGGTATGTCCTGTTCACTTCAGTCCTTCAGCTGAGTATATAAACAATTCTGAAATCCTCATGGGCCAGACAGAAAACTGCTGTCATGAGAGGCCTGACTCCATGAGGTATCACAACTGAATGCTATGTATAATTGAGCCTTCACTGGAAAAGGAATAAGCCGTCTATCTTCAGGACCCTTTTTAAACTGCTAAGATACTTGTCTAGCTGATATGAAAGAATTATCTCCGCAGTGTGAGACCCTGTCACCTGCACCCATGTTGAGCATGGCTTGATCTTCACAGGGCTTCTCTCCAGGAATGTTGAAAGGACTCATGAGTTGAAGATAGCTTTCACTGGAGATGGTACGATCAGTAAGGTTACATGCTGATACAGCTCCTTAATGTAGATGGTGCTTTCTCCTATGAGAGTCTGACCTAACTATTTAGCTGATATGGCTGCAAATACACATCAAAGAGTTTGAATCCTCGAGCTACAAAGATGCAGTTTCCAAATGAAACTAATGAAACTGCTCTAAGGATGCAAAGCTTACATCCTGCTAGCTAACATATTTCAAGAAAGTTAATAATCGAAGTGGGAGCTTTAAGGGAGAGTAAACTGCTGGCTGTGGAATGTATACTCATTCTTCTTCAAAACAGTAACTAATGGGGATGACTGTTAAATGTTGGTGAGAATTTGCAAGGAAGACTTTATTCAAGAAACCTAGCCTCTAGTGGGTTGTAAAATGTTTATGAAGAGGCAATTTCCTCCTGCGTACTAATGAAATATGCTAAATTAAGGTGTTTAACTCTTTTAAGTTCTTTGCATATAGTGTGCTCATGAACGTTCAATGTTTGCTAGTTGTGCTGTGCTGGTTGGTCGCAGTCAGTAAGATAAGCCATTTAACTTTTCTAATTCAGCCCAGGAAGCATGAACAAGTATGTCCTTCCCAGATGCACAGACCAGAGTCAAACCAATCCTGCAGAGGGTTAATCCTTCTGCAAGGAGAATATGGTAATATAGGACTGTTCAGGGTCATAGATTATGCAACACCATCACCTATACGTAGACTGGTACAGAGGACAATCTATATAAACACAGTTGGAGATCTTAGTGTTGAAGCCAAGATTGATTGCTTTCCACTCACTGCCTCTACATTTAAAATGTCCGTGCAGTTACAACTGCCTACTTGTAATAGTAAATTTCCCATGAAAAGGTTGACTCATTCTCGTTTAGTCAGCACTGATGAGAATTTCAATTACTGGGTAGAATTTCAACTACTACTCTTCATCACTAACTATTGACTAGACTTTTACCTTTGGCTGATAAAAGGGCACAAAAGGGCTTCCTTTTACTCACTCCCCAGCAAACCCTCAGGGGTCTGCAAGGCTGATTGCTTTCTGACTGCCATCTTGGGGACTGAAGACTTCTCTGGCTGGAAGCAAGGATTTTGATAGCTTTAGCCAGAGTTAGATATTATTTGAGACTTGCATATTCTATCCTTATAAGATATTTTTCCTCTGATCTCTGGGCTACAGCTGTACAGCTAGGATGCTAGCATGATATGCCATTCAGAAACAGCATAGCTGAACTGGGATGGTTAGGAGCTGTTGTGTGCTTGTACCATAGCTGTTCGGCTTGCCAATGGGTGCACATCAGCTTCTGAGGTTGAAGAAGTGTTACCTGCATCCACTGTCCACAGGCTAGTAAGGTCCTGCTTGGGAATTATAGCTTCTTCCTTCTAATTTAGCTCACTTTGCAATAACATACATGTGGCTTTAAAACTAAAAATGTTGATACACAGGACTTGCAGGAACAGTAGTGTGGAAGCCCAAATGGGGCACTTGACCTGATTTTCCCTTGACAACATTATGTAATAGCACAGTCAATCCAACATAGTCCAACATAATCCAGTATTATTAGAAGGAGGAGGGGAGAATCTGATAAAGATTCTAAATGTAACCTAGGGTCTGTAAGACAAGAATTGATTTAGAAATGTAGTCAATTTGATTTTTAAAGCTGGCACTTTAATTCTATTGGAACTTGCATGAAGTTAGCCCCAGGAACAGTTCAGGCAACTAAAATATTTGGTTTTTCCTTTTAAATAGTGATCTGCAGGAAGTGACTTAAACATTCACAATGATGGAAGAACAGGACAACATTATCTGTGCAAGGAATTAATAACAACAGTCACAATCTGCTATGTTTTTGTCTGCGTAGCAAGACCTTTTGAAATTCTCCTGTTTGTGTCTCATTTCTGTCACTACTCCTCTGACAGGGCTTCACATAACTATATGAATAGCTGAACTACTTCTTGTCTGAATAAAATGGATTTTAGCTCTTGAGTAAGTTCGTGACTCGACATATGTGTTAGAGCATACCCGTGAAATGGTGATGTCTGCTTCTCAGAAATGCATCTACTATGGGAGACTCAAACTTCAGGAACTTTTAGAAGCTCAGATGTTACTCAACTCTTTTTCATGCTTTTACAGAGTGAGTTTTTCTGTATTCCATGGGAAGTTATCAACCCAGCGGGAGTATGTATAATCTTTTTTTTTTTTTTTTATGACAGCACCTTGATTGCTTATGTTGGTGCTAGACCTTTGCAAAGAAACTAGAGAGCACTTGGGTATGATCCAAGATTTAGATGTCAATGCTGCTTCCCCTGCCCTTTAAACAGGGACGAGGGCTAAACCAGTAGCCATATAAGGCACTGGGCTCGCTCCCAAGGTACACAGTGAGTATTAGAGAAAGGCCTCAAAAAGAGCAAAGTGTCTTTTGTCTGGAATCATGTCCTGAGCTGAACTTTAGACCCATAACAGATCATAACCTTTGGGCCCTCTGTGTAGTCAGAAGAGTGAGATGCTCTTCCAGCCAGTTTTTCCTCTCCCCTGATTTAGGTCCCTCTTGCTAGATGAGATACATTTGAGCATGTTTCTTCATGCAAGAGAAAGCACAAGCATCCTCAAATCACTTTTTTAAAAGCAAAACCCAAAAGGCCAAAGAATGTAGTTCGAAAAAAAATTAATTGCATCTAGAGAAATGATTGACTGAAGATTTCTCAGATGGTGACATTATTTTCAGGAGAGATACTAGATTGGGATGTATGAAACAAACCAAAACTTCACATCAGTTGTTCTTTCTTCATCTGGTCTCCTTCAGAAACACTTCTCTATTCCACTTCAAGAAAGGATTTTGTTTTCCTCTTCAGTTAATGTCCCTTCATTAATGTATGCCTCCATTGATGTGCTCAGTAGCTTTTTTCTCCATTGAGAACCAGAATGCTGTCTGCCTTTAAACACATGCATAAAAAGAGTTCTGAGCCACCCAAGGAGTTTACCTTTCTTCCTGATGCACTGACATTTAAAAGCTACATCTTACAATAAAGCGGAAAAACTGTGGCAGTCTGGTTACATGCAGTTTTGGTGGAGTAAACACTTGATTATTCAACAATGAGTCATTTCTGCAGTAACCTCATTCTGTCATGACTGTATCACATCTGCTAACTCTCCAAAGCAAAAATCATAACCTGTACTGGTTTAAAACATGAATACAGCATCGTGGTTCATACGTAACACTCTATTGAACCAAAGAAGCCATGTGCTATCAGTTTAAAAGGGCAAAGTACTTGTTCGCAAAGAGAAAATATCATAGAGAACAACAAAGATAATTATGAAAAAAGCTTCTCCATTCTTTAGCTCTTCTCACAGTGTCTGGATTCTCCATTATTCTTCAAGTCTCTTTTCATTCTCTTAGAAAGCTTTTGTTTTTGGAGTGTAGTGTATTTGGAACATAATATATTGGGGCTAAGGTTGTTCTGCTGCCCTCTGACTTGACTCCATGTCTTCTGCCATATTGTTATTGTTGACCTCAGTCAGAGGTGAGGCAGGCCTGAGTGGAGCAGAACCTCCTCCCTATAATGCCCTGCAGTCCTCAAACCAGCCTCCACTGATGGGACATGAACACTGGTCACAGAATATGGCTCCTGAATCTTTATTTGGTTCAGAATGATGTGATACAAAAGAAAGCTCCTGACTGCTAGACAACAGCATTTTTGCTACACTACTTTAAATTTAATTAAATGCATTTAACATTTCTTGTAACAGTAATTTCATCAATGTCAATGGAAAAGAGAGGAAACAGCAAATAAGTATAGTGTGATAATGACCAGATAGTAAATTGGGAAATAGTTTAAGTGAAATATAGCCAACATTCAGTAAACTCCTTTCTATAAGTGGCTGTGCCTAAGAGCACCTTTCGTACATTAAAACTCAGCAGTGCTAGTCTATTGAAGTGCATATGGACTACTACTTAAAATGAACTATGACAAATTGTAGTTGAATTTACTTCCTTTCACTTTTATATTGAAAACGCAGGGGATATATGCAGGAAGGATGATCTAGTATTTTTTGCAGAGAGCACCATTTGAGGTATACCATCAAAAGACCTGCTGCTGTCGTCAGCTGCAGAAGTGGTTGAGGATTTCAGTCAAATAAGAGCTCCAGAGTGCTTGGTAAAGTACGGATACATACTGAATGCCCACTCTGGTCTGCAAGTAATTAAGTCTTTTTGACACAGCATGATTTTGCTTACCCTTCTTCCACTCTAGTATCTATGCATGTCCACCAATAAACGGTCTAAGGAGAGGATGGAAAATCACTTTGCTGAATCCATTACACTCCTGTTACGTGTATGTGAACAAGTGGTGATGGTCTGAGCTTTTGTAATGAAAAGAGTTTAAAAGAATTAAGAGGTCTCAGTATTTTAATCTATAGTTTGAAATTAGTTTGTCCCCCCGATAAGCTCCAGGTGTGTTTAAAGTACAAGTATATAATGGCAGCTGCAGTTGTTTTCTTCGTAAGATCAATGTTTGAGATAATGCATATAGTGGAGCCACAAATTCATACATGCACAATGCACAATTGTTTTCAGAAGTTCAGCTATTACTATTTATAGTATTGACCTGAAAGGTTGCAACAATTTCTCCATTAGTCACGGTAGTGCTGGCTAGACCTGAAAATTGTGGTCAGCGTGGCTACCATGCTGCTAGCAAGCTACAGCGTACTAAATAATGCAAGTTCAGCCTTTGATGAAACTTAAAGGGAAAAAAGATTCTGAATAAAAGTAGAAATGTATAGTAAAGGCCATGAGTATACAGTGTGACCATTACTTATTTAAGTATTATTTATCTATTATTTAAGCTATTAGCAGCTATAGAAATAGTCAAATAATTAGCTTCTGAAGCCTATTTATTGATGAATATTTTTTTTTTTCATTAGAAATGCTAAGTACAATCTATGTTCCATTTGCTTTTTTCCCAGATTGGAAAGAAAAGTTTATGTAGCTAAGACACACTCGCAGGTCTGCACAATAAAATGTTACTGATAACCCACTACTTGTCATGAAAAACATCATTACTTTGTCTTGTAAATTAAAAAGTCCTCCCTCCCCTGACCGCATACGTGGTAAAATATTAGTCACATTATGTATATCAGCACCACTGAAAGATTAGAAATTAGTACCTCCTACTCAAGAGCAGGGCTTAAAAACATCCTTTGTCTGTTGCAAAAATACATTTTGAGGGGGAAACACCAATTGTCGTAGAGGTTAAATTTTTATTTGACAACTCCTATTCTCTTTTCCTTCCCCTTTACGAAAGAAGTGCTTATATACGTAGGCAAGCATTTGTCATTTGGGTGATACGTTCTCTTTCCAAGAGATGAAACATAGCCAGCATCTACTGTGAGCAACCTTTAGTTTATTTTGCAGCATAAAAAGTTCTCTTAGTGGCAATATATGAACTCATATTATCAACTTGTTTTAATCATTGCAGGAAATTAATTTGTAGCCAGCTAATTAGTATTTTCCTTAATGACTTATGCTTGAGTCTTAACACAGAAAAGCAGCCTCTGGAGGTGCTATCTAATCAATTCACCACTGTAGACTTAAAATGGACAGATGGTTGAGTATTTCACACTCTCTGGCCCAGAGTGTAGAGTAATGCATGTCCTGTTCTGGAAGCAACTTCACCATGCACTTAAGCATAAAGAGAATTTCCATTCTCTGTTTAAGACAACAAAAACACCTTGTCTGTCTTTACTAAATCCAGGCCTGATATGGAATCTGTGCCATGTTCTGATTCAGGAGAGGAGAAGCCTTTCCTTTGAATGATAGAAAAATTAGGTTGGAAAGGACCCCTGGGGTTTATCTAGCCCAGTCTCCTGCTTGAAGCAGAGCCACCTTTGAGGCTGGATCAGGTTGCACAGGGTTTGTCTTGGTGAGTTTTGAAAATCTCCAAGGCTGGTGATTCCACAGCAAATTCTGCCTTTGGATATATTTTCTGCCCTACCAAGGTTGATAAAAGTGCAGTATGCACCTTCATAAGTGTATGTGGTTTGTGATCTTGCCTTTTTTTCTGTGTGCACTGATCTGATTAGAGTAAAATTCAGATCTGGTGGGAGTCAGTGCAACCCCCGTTTTTCAAAGAGCTTCCACTGACGTCAAGAACTTTTCTTTCTTCCTCATTTACATTGGACTAAGCCAGATCTGATCATGCTGAGGATATTGGGGCATTCTCTCCCCTCTGTGTATGTGAAGTCTGCTTCTCTGACAGTGAAGCTGAGGATAGGTATAGGATCAGATTCAGGACATTTGGTAAAGTCTAGTTCTGTACTGTCTGAGGTCAGTGACAAGAACTTGATTGGCTACTAAGTTACTAGACTGGCACCAAAGAAAAAAGAGTATTTACTGAGATTACTATTTCTCCTCACAAGTCACTTTAGCAATGCTCCACCCTTCTTTCAGATGCTTCTGGAATGGCAATGCAAAACAAACCTTTCTTCTACCTCTTTCCTTTTAATTCTTCAAGCTTTACTTCCTCTAATAGGAATAACCAGAAGTAAGTTTTCGGTTGCCCTTTTAAAAACTAAACTCCACAACAAGTCTTTAATTGCATACTTTTAAAGGCCACACAGTAGTGTTAAGCTATGTAGTAATGCACTCAGAAAGGGTCTGAAAGTCTGTGTTGAGAACAGCATTTCTCACCTCATAGACTCAGCTGTACTGAGCAGGAAATTGTGATTTGTGCCTCTACAGAAAGCATTCAATTTGCATCTTATTAGAGCTACCTGGGGAGGAAAAATAATGTTGTGGAGACCAGGAAATTTCTTCAAGTGCTTTATCTGGAGGTCAGTGGAATTCATTTATAAATGATGAATGCATGCATTTTGATGATAAAATTGTGATGACTTACAAAGTTTGATATTACTGTACTTTTTTGTGGACAGTGATTTTTTTTTAAGTGGTAAACATATTTTCCAAGAATATTGTAGACATTTGTAACATGTATGTTTGTGCCAATAAATCTTGTTTTAAGAAGTTGCTTTTTGTATCATTTCTGTCTCCAATATACACAGTTTAAGGACAGTTAAGCAGCTTCAGTTTTCATACTTTCTCTGTGTTAAGTGATAAAGACTTCTGGAAATTAAGATTTTCAAATTCACATTGAGTTTTTATATATTCAGTCTAATACAAAAGAAAAAAAATCCCACTTCTGTTGTATAAACAATAATGAACTCTGTACAGAAGTGGGAGGGGGGACAGTGGTACAACCACCAAACACTTGTGAAGAAGAGCAAATGGGAGAATGCCTTTAGTGCATTTGACCTTATTCTTAACTTTCTTAAATGGTAACATGTTTTCCTTTTAATAGGGCACAGTTAACTCAGAAAATTCATTGCCATGACATCCTGCTAGTTCACAGATTTGGTGTACTTTGGGCACATTTTTAAATGAAGAAAGAAGGATTCTCTGAGGGTGATACAGATTCTTGTACTGGGTCATCTTCTGCCTTGACTTGAAAGAGCTGATAGTGGCCACTAGTGTGATGGCTTACTGGGGCACAGTAACTGTTGCTATCATGATTCCTAATGAGTAATTAACAAGAGTTGGAAGCTGCTTTTTTCCTCCTCCTAGTGACTATAGATACATTTTAAAGTATGTAAGCATCACGGTAACTCCCAGGTAGCTCTGCACCTTCATGCATATGGGGCGTTATTCAACAGCTCTTCTAATATTGTCGCAAATTAACTCAGCGCATATAAAGGGCACAGTATTGTTCTTCCCCCACCCCCCCCAAAACACACCAAAACTGGGTAATGTCAAGACGCCTTCTTGTATGACAGTGCTTTATTAGTAAACTGTAGGTTTTTCCTTGGTAACTCTTAGCATATCTGGCAATGAATTGAGGGAACTTTGAATCTGTAAGGAGGATCTGGAAAAAAGCAATCATTGATTTTGTACAGTGCATATTCTGGCCTATGTGAAATAGCAAATAAGGACTGAGAGGGTGAGTTAGGTAGGTTGGTGCATATGAATGTGATACTGAAGAACACAGGAAACTGATCAAAGTTGAAATGATGCTTATGCTAACAAGTAAGAGAGCACAATGGGCTACTACTCCATTAGCACTCCTACAGTCAGGTTGCACAGTTAGCTCCGTTTTGCTGAAACAAAATGTCCCAATTTCTGACTTTTGATCTTACAAAGAAGTATAGAAAATGGTAAGACCAAGTGAAAATTAAATGATGTGTGACGTAATGGAGAGAAGGTGGGTATGGCAGAATCAGTAAGATTATATGAAAAATCTAACGTAGTTTTACATGCTTTGCAGATAGCAGATTTGCATAATTCATGGAAGTTCAGGGAGCAAAAGGAAGGATTCCTTCTTAGGGGTTACTAAGTTATGTGGGGTGAAGAGCTCTGGGACTTGCATATGCTTTGGAAAGTCAGTAGAAGATAATTAAAGGACAAAACAAACCTTGAAATAACTGTTTGTATACTTTTCTTTGTGAGCTGCAGTACACAGAGGTAAGTGAATGGAGAAGATGCTTTTACGTGTTCCTGACAGATCTAAAATTTCAAAAAAATGTATTCAAGGAACCTGAAACATCCTACTACCATATTAGTATTTCTCACAACTGCATCTACCCTCCCACCCCCATGGCAGTCATCCTAATCATCCTGTGTTACACCTGTTGCTTTTTAAAAATCTATTTCTCTTACCTCTGTAGTTTAAGACCAATAAAATTGTCATTGGTGAAACAATAGTAAGCAGTATGCTCAAGGATGAATATGGTCCAAATTCCCCTGCCTCTACCACCAAAACAAATCCTATTGATATCTCCAATGCCTAACCAGATGATAGCTAGGTGGAGTGAGACACTTCCTATCGCACACAATCAACTAATAGTTTAATTTCAGAGGCTTTCATTTCACTCAAAAGTCTCAAAGTTGGAGTGACTTTTTTTTTTTTTCCTCCAGAGGTATTAATATACCAGAAGTAAAACTCTTGCTTACTGCACTCACCAGCTTAAGCATTTCTTGACTACTCAGACATCTCAGTTCTCTTTGAACACAAACGTCAGTTGAAAATGTTATTTTTGAGATGCCTAGCGTTGGCAGCTAGATGGAAAAGATACAGTAGCAGTCTTTGTTGATGAGAAAAGGCATCACTGGGAGCTGTAGGCAAAAGCAGCGTCCTCAAGGCCTGTCTTTAGTCTAGATGAAGAGCCAGCCCACATGTTCTTCTGCAGCTGAGCCTAGGACTTGAAACTCTATGGAGTAAGAAAGCCAAGCTGGCTGTATAAGCAGCACTGCTACATTTTGGTGGTGCTATGCGCATTATGAGCTTCCCTTGGCTATATGTAGACTTACCGGCTGTCACATAGGATATTGAAGTGTCTTCTGGTGCCATTAAGACAATGCTGTCTTACAGGTATCCCTGTATCTGGATTTTATTTAAAAATGGTCTTTGGGCAGTTAGATCATTAATACATGATTAAGTGCAGTGTGAATGCTTTTTCAGCCTTGGATAGCTGTGCAACACATCACACTTACATGATGTGTGTCTGAAAAATAGAAGCGGCAAAATGGCACATAATCATTAAAAGGGAGCCCTTCGCACATAACCTGTCTGCTCCTGTTTGTCCCAGGCATGATGGAAGAATCAAACCTCAACCCACCCAAACTAGCAGCTTCTCTTCCTGATTGTTGTCTCTTTGCAGACTGTAGCAGAATTTGTGGGAGCTTCCGGTGGAGATTTGCAGAAGTGCTCTCCCCTCCTTAAAATGTGTTTGACATGAGTGTGCACATCATTAAGTAAAAAAGAAATCTCAACTTGCTTTTAAAACTGCCTTAGTGAAGGAAGGGAGGGGGAAAGACATGTTTTCAGGTTTTTGCTGGCTGGCAGTGCAGCTGCCTGCCTGCTGCAGCGCCCTGAAGTGAGTCTGTGCTGGGCTCGGGAGGCATCCAGCCAGCTGAGCTGTGACCACCCCGTGGTGCACAGCCTGGGGAATGTCAAACAGTAGCAGCTGACGCAGGTGGCATCACCCTGTGACAGCATGGGCACTGTCAGTCTCCGCTTATCGTTCTAGTGAATTTACTTCACAAATGATGCCAACATAGACCAATAGTGTCAGACTCGATCTCAAATGCAAAACAAATTTGGTCACAACTTATCTGTATGAGATTAAACTGCATTGTCCATCCCTCGGATTAGCCACTCTGCTGTAACTGGCATTCATTTTAACAGTTTTTCAGACCTCTTTTTTTGTCTCTTGTGCATCAGTTACTTCAGCCCAGGCTTCAAAATTCTCAAGCATTCTTAACAGCATTTTTCTTTGTGATTTTGGAGTTGTCTCATTTTCCCTCTCTGCTTCATCCCACCTGTTCTCTGTTTCAAGGTGCTGAATGAAATATCATTCTCCCTCTTGCCTACAAGAGCAATTGCTTCTCAAGTAACTTCATTTAACTCTTATGTTCTCCACTTCCTCTATGGAAAAAATAAATTGGAAGATTTGTGTCTAGCCACAATGATTGCACACTTTGACTAAGCCATCAAAGTCTTTGTATTCTCCTGATGCTTCCAGGGTTGCCTCCTACATACTGGCATTCTCAGGTTTGCTCAGGGTGACCAATTATGTTGTCTCATTTACCTGCAATAAACTCTTTCAACTCTTATTTAAAAAACAAGTATATAAATGCACCTTTGTCTTAGAAGGAAAGGCTCTGATTTTCTCATGTGTTTTAGGTCTTTCCTGTACTCTTGCAAGCATCAGAAAACACCACATCAACGTGGAGAAGTACCTGTTGATCCCTTCATGAAATACCTCTTAAGTCAGGAGCCAACATGAAGCATGTTGCCTGCAGCTGTCTGTACAAAGGCTCCCTCTGTCATGTGCTGCATGGGAATGACCTCACTAGTTGAATAGAGCCACTGAACCAGTTAGAGATGTAGTCTGACAGTCATAGAACAAACATGACTCATTTAAGAACATTCCCTACCTTCCCTTTTAATAACTGGTTTCACCAAAGCCAGTAAACTAGAACTGAAGGGAGAACAAAGAGTTCTTCAGTTAGTTTTGCACAATCTTCTCACACACTACTTACTGCACTGTAGGAGCATGTTTGAAATTACTATCCCTCCATATTTGCATCTTTGATGGTGTCCAAGCTCTCACAACGTAATTACCTCTAGCAGCAGATACTGACATGCCAATACTTACAATACTAACGAATGAACAGTTCTGGATTTAAAACCAAAAAGCTTTCAAAACACAAAATGTTGTTGTGCTGAGGAGAGATCATCATCCTTGATGATTATGATAGTAATTGCATTGAGATGAGAACAGGATTCTGCAAATAAGGAGATTTGTGTCTAGTTTGACCAAGCCATCGAGGCTTGGTTGTGTGACTTCACACCCAAGAGTGCTCAACTTCCACACTCAGTTTTCTTAACAAGGGGCTAAGAAATTAATTCCTGCTATGCCTTTGCTTTTCCACCTTGTGATGTATCAATAATCACTTTGGTAAAGCTCTTTTTGAGGAAGTAGATAAAATTATAACATGTCGGGGTAAGCTTTGAAAATTTGAACTTTATTTGTTAAATATTTTTGGCATTATGAAATCTCAACTCCACTGATGCCAACAACAGCAAAAAATCCCAATTATATCAGTGGAACTGAAGCTTCATCTTAGATTAAGCTATTACAGCATGCAAATAGCAGCATAATTTTCTGAATGTGCAGTACACTAGTCCTCATACTAGGTCTTTTCCTATTTTTTCAATTTGATTGTTGTGGATTGATCCTACAAAATCACCTTGCAGTGGCATCCTAAGTTGGAAACAATGGAGTGCATTCACTTCACCAGTAATGGCTGTGTCTAGATGGTCACAGTACAATTTTCAAGTATATTTTGTAAATGGTCTCTCTATCCAATTAATTATACTGTAATCCACCACGTGGCTGGGGAAAGAGCTTGTTTAAATAGATTTGGCTTCTGTAGCTGACATTTGCATTAAGTCAGTGTGAATTA